AGGAGAATGGTGTCCAAACTAGAGCCCATCATGGACAACATCTCCCATCCCCTCTATGACAGGCTTGTAGAAATGAAGGGCACGTTCAGCAATAGACTGATTCATCCACGGTGCGACAGGGAGCGCTACAGGAGGTCATTTTTGCCTTCTGCCATAAGACTGTACAACGCATCCACGTTGCGTCTGGGCAGAGGCAACATCGACAGTGACCTGTTTCTGGACTGAACGCATCTACTGCTACATCTGTTCTCTTTCTTTTCTTTTCCCGTTTACAACTGTTTTTTGTGCAATATATGCCAGGGACCCGTGCAATACATTTATATTTATATCTATATTTATATTCATATGTGTGATAGGATTTTTCTGCGTACTGTTCTGTTATAGTTTGTTCTTTGTGTGTCTGGGCTGTGAATAACTCTTTTAGTGCACAACTCACTGTACTGATTGTATTGTATGTATTGTATATTATTATTGTATCATTCGTTACACTGTGGCTGTGTTATCTGTGTAAAGCTGCTGTTGCACTGCAATTTCCCTCATGGGATCAATAAAGTATCTGTCTATCAGATGCTCAAAGTGGAATTTTATATAAAAGTCACAAAACCTACACAAGGTATGAGCAAATCCTTTGAAATATTTACAATACTATTTCAGATCAGGGTAAATTTCTCCTCAACAACACCATTTATTAGTCAGTCACACTGAGATGAATCACTCCACAAGCGTCAGGGAACAGTAAAAAAAACTCTCATAATTGGAGAAAGAAGGAATTATTTTACAAGCAAACAAAAAACCCAAGTGAACTGTGATAAGAGCAGATTACACAGGGGAGAATCCAATTCTTATTTCAAAATGCTTTTTTTCCTTGTAACTAGCATACAGTACATATTTTACATCTTTAAACTGATGTTCAGAACACAAGTACAACCAAGGATCTGACCTCTTTCTTTGGGAAGAATCGGGTCTTCAAAATTATGCATTGAAGCAAAATATGCATAACAAATAATAAAATGTGCACAATAGCAAATAATTAAATTTGGCTTAATCTGAACTATCTTTAATAAAAAAGTATAAAGAAATAGGAAAAGAAGATGCCCTGTTCCCACATGCTGCTCACAGTTTTGCACATTCAAGTACCACAAACCTTTCGCCCTCCTCTCTCATCATACGGGTTCCAAAGCTTAATTTCTCAGGGACCACTAAGGGGTTAAATTTTAAGAGAGGCACATCTTCAGACAGACAGGTGCCTTCTCTTTGTTTCGAGTGACTTTCAGGTGTCTGTAAGCTCTGCTGGGACGCTGCAGGCGAGCTCCTCTGACACTGAACAACAAACGCCCCCTTGTGGTGTCTTCTATACAGCACTGCCACGATGCCCAGCAGCAACAAGAGTAACACAGTGAAGAGCAATCCCATCCCGTAGATGGTTTTCAAAAGGGTGGGTGAAAAGTTAGAGTGGGCATCTGTAACATAGGAAGGTAAAAAAAAAATACAGACGAGATTTTGGCTATTGACAATGGCACAAGTTAAAACATTAACAGATTTCTGAGAACAGAATTACAGATTGGACTAAAAAAAGATGATTGTGGGGACAATGCATGAAGAGGTTCCTTACTTGCTGGATCAATGCAGAGCGTTCCACCAGAACCAATTCGAGAAAAATCCTCAAAGCCCCTCTGACAGCGGCAGGCGTACGTGCCAAAGACATTGAAGCAGTCGGCATGGATATCACACAGGACCAGTTCCGTCCTGCACTCATTGACATCTGAAAACAGCAATAAGAGAACAGAAGGGAGTTGGTACAAGTCACCTGATAGGAGACCTAACAGTTCCCCCAATCCCCCTGGCCTCCTCAGAAAACAAGAGCCATCGATACATTCAGCCACTTACTATAAATTCAAAATGCCACCTACAGTAACTTCCAAGAAGACTACTGAAAATTATGCATTTTCACTAAATGTAGAGATATTACACGGTACAGGTTTTTCCACTTTCTCTTAAAACTATTAGCATTTTCCTGCAAAAAATCAATTTGTATAAAACATTTTCACATAAAAAACATATTTGTCTTGTAGGCAGGTTTGAAATCTCCATCTTCAAAGAGCTATCTAATTATAATAATAACATTACTTTATTAACCCTTTACAATTTCTTGCATTAGGAATTTGTCTTTTCACATACCCCAGCTTGCTCTCCATGAAACACACAGACAGGGAGAGAAGCCTGGGGTCAGAGCGCAGGGTCAGCCATTTATACAGCGTCCCTGGAGCAGTTGGGGTTAAGGGCCTTGCTCTGGGGCCCAACGGAGTAGGATTCCTCTGCCGGCTGCGGGATTTGAACCGACAACCTTCCAGCCACAGGCGCAGATCCTTAGCCACAGAGCTACCGCTCCGCCCTAATTAAGAACCTAATTAACCTTTTGAAATATAATAATTTGAAGTACGATAACTGAAGTATGGCACCTTGTACAGCTCAATATCCTGTTACTACACTGGAACGCCGATTTGAAAACTGTGGTGCACAGGCAGTTTGAATCCTACGAGTGGGCAATAAACAATTCGTCACCTTCTGCCGACACTGAAATCACACGAGCACTGCCGGGCCCCAGGCCTGCCACGGGTCTATCCACGAGTCTTTCCAGGAAAGACTTAAGCAACATGGAGATGTTTTCCTCTCCAAAACCGAACTGCAGCCACAATATAAAGAGGAAGCCTGCATTCAAGCTGTGGAGGAAATGCAAAGAGACTTTATACCCTCAAAACACTAAGTATAAAGAGATGATAGTCTGCAGATCCTTCATTTCACCCAGATCAGCACAGAACACTGAACTCTGGTTAAGGCACATGGTTTTTAACAATGTCACATTTCCAGCATCAATACTATTTCTAAATTCTTCATGTGTGTGGTGATGATAACTTGCATTTGTACAGATTTTGTGTACACAACCCCACCTTTTAACTCGTTTAGAAGAAACGGATTTAAGGTGCGGTCGAAATGGTCGAAATTCTTCTTTGATCTGAAACATAAGAAAATTGATCCTGTGATACTCTCTCACAGCATGTGGTCTGAAAAGGTTTAGCAAGAAGTAAAGCTGTTGATGTCTTTCCTTAAGACAAAAGGAAAGATCATTCCAACATACCATTCTCTGAAGTGACGACAGAAGAGTCTTAACCAGCTGTTCCTGGTTTCCACTACCCCTGCGGCTTAGCTGGACTTCAACAGACACTTCATACAAGTACTCTGCAGAGGAGATCCTGGAGCTGTTAAAAGTGGTTTTACATGGGGGCTCCTGGAAAACAGACCTGAGCAAACCTCACACCTCGAGGACTAGCTGTTTGATCTGCTAGATGAAGGCACCTCTGAACCCAGGCCCTTCTGATTCTGGAGATCATGGTGCTAGGAAGGAGTGCCCTGTGAGGGCCTGTGGTGCTGCTGAATTAATCACTGATGGCTCAGTGGGTATCTGTGGGTACCCCGTCTCACTGCAAGACAAGAGACTGATTGCTTGTACTCTGCATGGGACTTACCTTGCTAAGTGAAATTAACCTCAGGACGCCCATGGGGACTACTTGTAATCCACCTGCCCTGAAATTTCACAGTCCCCCCCCACCACCACCACCACCATTTTGCACATACTGAGTTGGGAATTCAGAATTGTTTTTGTGCCTTGCCTCACAGCAATAACTCCTATACTGCATAGAGGGCATGAGGCAAGACAGAAAAGTGCCTGGTCCCTGCTTACTCATCACTCCACGGCATCTTTTCACAGACTACAAATTCCAGAGTGCCCAAAAGCAGGGTTAATGCCAACTAGAGAAGCAGCACAGTCCCCTGTGAGTTGTTCTCTCCTACACTTCAACATTGTCCAACATATGCTTTGCAAAAGCATCTTTTTCTCTTACCTCCAGGAAAATGAGAAATCCGAGTGACATTTCTGTGGTGCCTAGAAACACTTGTGTTTTCTGCATGGAAGGAAGAGGTAGGAATTACTTACAATCCAATTCTTTTTTTTTTATGAACAAGTTGAAAAAAAATAAACATGGATCATACCATTGAATTTGTGATCTAATTTTGTGGCTGCTGTTTGTGAATGTTCACTTATTGGGTGGTTGATACTGGAACCGTCTCTTTTCTCTTCAAAAATGCTGCTGCTTTTACTCAACTGTGGACTTGTGGCTCTATTGTATACCTTGGTTGGCGTGTGGCCGGAAATTTCTTCCCAAAACTCTTTAGACATTTCTTCAGTTTGAGATTTTCTATCAAATGTTTGGCCATATAGAGATGTTTCGTGGTCAAATTCCAGAGGGGGAGTAAATTCTGGGACATTGAGGCGTTCTTGATCTTTGCTATCTGGAGATGCGTCATTCAAAGAGACAGGAGTAGTATACCACGGGTTGCTCGAAGGGATGCTTTCAGTTTCTTGTAAAACAAATCTGTGCTCAACAAAAGGGACCTGTTGGCTGACAGACAATGTAGGAGTAATCAGCTTTGTTTTAGTGCTACTGAACGAATCCAGTTCTTCCGCAGAGAGATGGACCTCTCTCCCAGAAACGGTGGGTTGTTCTCTCATCACTGGCCCCCACAAAGGAGTTGCTGTGATGCATATTATAAAGGTTCTGTCAACATCTAGGCTTTCTTCAGAGCTGGCCCACTTTAACTGTGTCAGCTGACTCTTCTGCAGAGATTCTGCAAAGCTCTTGTTTTTCAGGGAGTTCCAGGCCCAGTCACTGGTTGAATCCAACATGTCTGTTAAAGAGAGAGTTTCCACAGGAGTTGTCTGTGTCGCAGATAATATTGTATAAGACTCTGACAGAGAGGGTTGAAGATACCCATCTAAGGAGACAGTTGTTGTAGTTTCCGCCCATCGCCCCAGAGACGCTTGAACAACTCTGTCCTCATCCGACACTCGAGATATTGTGAAAATCTCTGAACCTGCAACAGTGCGCACCAGTTCTATTATTCCCCTTGGCTCTTCTCCATCTGTGGCCGAAACAAATTGTTCTTCCACGGGCGACTCGCGAGGAGAGGCAGGAACCGACGGCAGCACTGCATCTTCTGCTGTCAGGGCCTCCTCCAGCACGTGGTACTGCCCATAAAAGCCCCTGTACGGCCATCGCCGGTTTCCTCGGATAAGCAAAACCACGTGGAGAATGTTGGCTTGGGAGATATGGCGGGCTTCCTGCCAACAGGTGTCCAGTACGCGGTGCCTCCCTCTGGCAGGGGACTCCTCCAGGTGGATCTCGTCCGTTTTAAACTCACAGGAGTAAGCAGGCGTTAAGTCCAGCAAGTGCAGCACAACTCGCTTCCCAGCGTCCAGCCAAATAGTCCAGTTGCACCAGAGAGGCGGGTTCGAGCACAGGTGGTCCGGTGAGAAAAACTCTCCGCGGTCTTCACGGAATATGCTGTGGCAGCTCCTCAGGGCGAAAAAGGCATAATCCCTCTGGGACTTCCTTTCTAAAAAGCGAAATCGGTGGTATCAATTGTCATACAATAAAGAAGAGTAGAGAGGATGCAGTGTTTGTAACAGATGACATTTTAACTAAACTGAGTTCCATTAAGGTTTAAAATGCATTTCTCTCTTTGCACTCTTTGCCTTCCAAGGAATGCGAATCCAGAAAGCAGATGTCTGAGTGTGTTTGGAAGCATTTCAAATGCTCTTGCCCTGGCAATAGTGCACTGTTATGACACTTCATTTTCTGGGCATTTGTGCTGTACAGAAAAGGTAGAGATCACAGGAACTCCGACAAAGGGGAAACTTTTCCTTGTACATCACAGAAAAACAGGTCAGTATACTATCAATTAAGTATTTTTGGAAATATTTATAGCATTTGCCAGCTAATGAAGTTGCATAATCTGTGCATTTGTTTATCGTGTTTAAAATATTCGATTTAAATCATTAGAGTCAGGTATAATTGTTCTCAGTACATCTGAATGGGTTGAACTAGACCTGAGGTTATTACTGTATTTCTTGATAACAAATCAACACATATAAACACATAAGAAATAATAAAAATAACTTGTACCTCCAGGAAGGTTCTGAATGACTTCTGGTGCCACATTTACCTGTTAAAGAGAAAAGCTCAAAGTTTGTTTTGCCAGGGTGATAGTTCAACTATCGTTACAGTTTATTGACTTAATTTTCCATTTTGATTAAGATTTCCTCTCATATAGCAAAGATAATAATAATCCTTACACTTATAGTATATAGTGCTTTTCTGGACACCCCACTCAAAATGCTTTACAAATTGCTTTAATGGGGACTCCCCTCCACCACCAGCAATGTGGAGCCTCCACCTGGATGACGCAATGGCAGCCAAAGTGCACACAGCACACTCACCGCTTACCAGCTATCAGGGGGGAGGAGAATAGAGTGATGAAGCCAATTCATACATGGGGATTAATAGGACGCCATGACTGGTAAACACTGGGAGAACTTTGGCCAGGATGCCAGTGGTAACACCCCTATTCTTTTCAAGAAACACCCTGGGATTATGAATGACCATTCCAGAGTCAGGGCCTAAGTTTTATATCTCATCCGATGTAGAGTGTGCCCATCACTATACTGGGGTATTAGGATCCACACCGAAAGCAGAGTGAGTCACCCCTCCCCATTAACACCTCTTCCAGCAGCAACCTTAGCTTTTCCCAGGAGGTCTCCCATCCAGGTACCAGCCAGGCTCACACCTGCTGAGCTTCAGCGGGTTGCCAGTTGTGAGATATCTTTAATTTTACAAACTGAAGCTTAGTGTCCAACACAATGCACAACTTGTACAGCACAGCTTCTATCATAAAGATCCACTCTAGCTATATACCAGATGAAGAATAAAGCAAAGCAAACCTGAATTAAGGTTTATGAGCACCTTCAAAATGTATTCCACTAATTCAATTAGAAACTGGATAAGAATGGAACCTCCAAGATAGAATGTCCAATTAATTTTCATCCTGGATTTAACATTTAGAAACAATGAAGTTAAACAAAAATTAGGCTATAAGACTGAACATTCAATTGAATTTAATAACCTACAATGTACTGTACATTAAAGGGTGATACAATTATATAGGGAAGAGTGAGGCCAGGTAATCCACAATCATTTTATTAAAGACCAGCTTTGAAAGGTGGGGACAGATTGTCAATTACTTCAAAGAGCTGGAGAATAAGGGATTTCTTTTTATCTTTAAAAAATTCTTTGTAACAATTCCCATTAACTGTCAGGCACAGAAACAAATTGCACTGCATCAGATCTTGACTTCCTTTCTGTACAAAGTGTTACCAAGACAGTGACAACGCAATGATTTACAAGTTTAGCTTGCCTGCCTCCTGCTAAACACCTCAGAGAGAAGAGGGCCAATCTCTTCACAGCAGGCATGGCCTGTAGTCATGACACTCCTCATTGAAGGTCTCTGGAGGTCTTTTCATCAGTCTTACTCCAGTTGTATCATACTAATAGAACAGGGGCCACTTCCACCTTGTCAATGCTCTTCCAGGAGGTTACTGCTGCACAATACACTAGATTTTAAAAAGTCACCTTAGCTATCTCCATATAAGCCCCCTTTACACACCTCTTTCTGCCTAACAACCATAAAGTGTGGAATACCTATAAACCTTAAAACAACTGGCACTGGCATTAAAGTGCATTCTATAAAACCCTACCAGCAGACAGAGCCTAGTTGGACTTCCTGCCAAAATTACACTAGTCCTTTACCTTAATTTTGCACAGTTGCTAGAAAGCAGCTCCTAAGCTTTCTCAGACAGCACTTGACTGCCTACTTGTCACAGGACCTATCGTTTTCCCGTAAATATCAAAATGAGCCCAGATGCATCAACCACAATTAAGTTTCTCAGCCCAACATGTGTCATTTTACAACAGCCAAAAGGAACTGCTATAAGGTCTCTTCAAGAAATAAACATCCTCAACCCAAAGAGAGACACCAAACAGGAGTTTCACACTCTGAAGGAAAGGGGTTGACTTCCCAAAAGCTACTGCTTTTCCATTCTGCTGTTCTTCCAGAGTCATTCACAACTTTCGACAGAAAATCTTGTCCCTTCTCATCCTGTCAGCAAGGGAGGGGACATTGATAAGGGACTCCCAAAGTCTGCAAGCAACTCATCAATATTTAAGTACCTGAAAAAGTCCGAAGTTCATCAGTTGTCTCAGTCAAAAACGTCTTGTTTATAACAGTCATCACAGTTTCATACACAGCACAGTTCGCGTATTCAAAAATGTATGTGGTGTCCTTGCACCCTAAGGGAGCTCTCCCATCCATCTCTTTCTCATCAGAGTGGTCTTCAGAACAGGGCACAGCTGATGGAATTCCTGAAGTAAACATTTATATTAATTAAAATAATCACATCATAGTGGCTTAAGAGCGGATTTACACTCAATTCAATTAAACTTCCCTGTTTCCCTGGTAAATACAGATAGAAAATGAATGATGCATGCAACAATTTTAATCAGGGATTACAAACAACCTCTGATAGTCAGAACAAAGGGAATTACAGCAGACTGAGGTGAAAGGACTGCATTTTTATTCTAGGAATACACAAAGAACACATTCAGATGTTGAAATTTCAAAGTAGGAGGTTATGTGGCAGACTTTATAAAAATTGATAGACTTTGGTATGAATGTAAGCGTGAACAATTACATAGAGGTTTCCCTATAAAACTCTGGCCTGGCAAGTCCTCTGCTAGACATCTCAGTAACTCACTGCTTAGCTTATCACTTATGCTGTTTTGCCAGTAATTGCCAGTGCCAACATCAAAATACAAGAGAACAAAATGACAAAAAATACAAAGTGGATAGAAATGCAGAGCTATAAGCATCTGTCTTTTCATTAAGTGCAACCCAAACCTCTATCAGGACTTGTTCTGCAATGCATAACTCTGACGCTAGTCATCAGGAATCAAAATCCAACAATTTGCGATTGGGAAAATAAACTGTTGGCACATTGCACGAGAGATGGCCAAGAAATCTGAGCAGATTACTGAGGCAGCAGTTACTGCATGACAATCCATCATGGCTTCTGAATGAGGCAGAATATTAAGTCTCAGCAGGTCCGTGATGACATCTCCATCAAAGAACATTAATGTTACAAAAGAAAGATGGCCAATATGGCCATCTAGCTCAGTTGCTTGCTCATAACTAACTGAGTAGCCAGGGTACCCATCCACTTCAAAAACATGGCAAGGAAGCATGTTTCACATTCTCAATTCTGCATGTAAAAACGTGCCTCCTGTTCTCAGTTCTAAAAGCACTTCCCTGTGATGGCCACTTCTGTCTTCTTGTTCATGTTCCACTGTTGATTCTAAAGAGGTCCAATAGGCTGACCTTGTCAATGCTTTTTGGGATTTCAACTGTTTGACTCAAATGCACTCTTAGCCCAATCTATTCACATTTTTTTTCTGCCTGTCAGAGTACAACTGTAAAAAAATCATTTTAGGCCCTTAAAAGCACATCAGGTTTCTCTTCTGTGGACCAATTCCTTTTTTTGAGGCATGGATAACAAAATAGCAGTGGTTAACATTGCTGCCTCTGGAGCTCTGGGGTCCTGGATTCAATTCGAGACCTTGGGTGCTATCTGTGAGGAGTTTGTATGTTCTCCCAGTGTCACATGGGGAGATGGAGCCCACAGTCCAAAGATATACAGGTAGGTTATTCAGCTTCTGGGAAAACTAGCCCAACGAATGAGTGACTGTGTGCAAGCCTGTGACTGCCCTGTGATGGACCGGCGCCCCGTCCAGGGCGTACCCTGCCTTGCGCCTGTTGCTTGCTGGGATAGGCTCCAGCATCCCCACAATTCTGAGATGGAAGAAGGGGTTAAATGGATGGATAACATAATATTATGAAGGGAAGGCTTCAAAAGAAAGACAGTGATTTAGATCTGGCTGACTTGACAACCAGTGACAAACCCTGGAACTCTACCAGTTCCAGCACAGCTTCGACAGCCAGACCTACAAATGTTCAGCAAACGCACATGGAAATTCTTCACACACCCATGCACTTCAACAAGAAAGCTGTCTAGCAGAGACTCTTCTTCCTGAGCAGCACAACCATAGGATGCTGGTTTCAAAATCACTGAAGCACAGAGACCCGTTCTAACTAACACAGAAAAATATTCAGTTCATTTTAGATATTGCACCTAAACAGAATCCAAAATATTAACACCTGGAACAGAATGACTCGGGGAAACCCACTCACAATAAAATAATGCTAACACTTGAATATTGCGTAAAAATCAAAGTAAGAAAGAAAGCTTCTGTGTAACGACTTGGTCAACATCCTTATAAGTCTTCAAATAACAGTACCAGCCCCGACATCACTTCTCCCTGTAGAAGATGAGCTTACTGTCGCACTGCTTGTTGTTATAAGCATTCCGATTTCGTATATGCGAGATACTGCCGTTCTGGGATTATTTCTGGTAGAATTATCATTATTTCGAAGACAGGTAAGAGATGGGCCTTTAAAATTTAAAATACTACCCTTATATAGTAGGTCTTTTCTTTCCAGTGCTCCGTTTAAAACATGCATGAGATTGAATAAAGGTGGAAACCTACAGAGAGGGGCAATAATGCAGCAGAAACACTAATAAATCTTAGACATCATCCAACATGGTGACAAAAAAAGGAGGTATCCTTTCATTTTGTCCGTTTACCGAAATAGGACATCCAAGTTGACACCTTTATTTCATAATATAAGATAACAGTGCAGAAGCTCCCACCGACGGTAATTAAGAATTGCAAAGCAGCGAAATGTTACCTGCGCCTCGATCACAAAGTACAATAATATAAACCGAATGCACATTAATACTGACATTGCATTGTATGCAACGCACACCCTCTTACGGTTATCTGCTTTGCATGCAATACGACATAGGTTTAAGCAAAAATAATTTAAAGAAAATTCTGAACAATGAAAAAGATTGCCAATATTTTCCAGCTACAGTTCTTTCGAAGCACTGATCTTTAAATGCAATGGATAACGGCAAGTGTTATTTTCGAATGTAGGCGTTTAAAATATTCGCAGGAAGTACAGATTTCTGCGTTTTCCATATTACCTTTCGGTTTTACTTTTAAGTGTATATTGCGCAATGTTCAACGGCCTTACTTTTAGGTTATTTTGTTTGTATAGAGATTGCAACTGGTTTAACACCTTACTAAATCAGAAGAGGTGAACAACTCCATGACCTTTGAAGTGTCATTTCAGAAGTAGCATTCCCAAAATACGCAGTAACATTTTGTATATATATTTCTAAAGTTTCGCGATGAAGTGTTATGAACTCAGAATACATCTTTAAATGAAAAGTTCTTTACCTACCGATGTAACACGGCCATCTTTTGTGAAGATACCATAAAGAAGCAATAAAGTAGATAAACGGGTTGACATTTGGGATCTAGGAAGTACCATTTTTATTGTAGTCGTTATAAATTTACAGTACTAGATTTTAAACACGAAAACTAAGAACATACTTGGTGTAAACTCCCAATTTATCAATTCTCCACAAATACAAACTTCACCAGGTTTTTTCTCCCTTAGGAAGGAAGAGGGATCAGCTGTATTCTTTGTAAATTGGCACTAATTATTCAATTTGCTTTCAAGGGAGCGCAGAAACACTGAAACGAAATAACTAAAGAATTTTAAAATGTTAGAAAGTAAGGTTACGTTAGCCACGAAAGGCTAACTGAAAAATGAATTATAGATGGATACATTTTAGTGCTGACACTACTTTCCGACCAACATGCTGTATTTGTACAAGTGTGTAACATCTACCACCATACTTGTACAAATAGTAGTAAAGTATTACTTGTTAACAGTAAATGATGGATCGACATTTTATTTTCACAGTATTGAATTATTTCACTGTAATCAAGATGCATTCACAAATAAACTTAACATAAGATCCAAATGTAACACGTTAATTATATCCTGAAGGTGGCGCCAAGTGACAATAGAAACTAGTAAAAAAAGAAAAACCTCTGGGTAGCAGTTTGATGTAGACGGACTCCTTATTGTGCCCAAGAACTAACAGTTTTGATTTATGCATGGACGGAGTTTATAATCAAGAATTAAAAGAATCAGAAGTCCGGAATACGCCTTTACATGAGGCAGAAATAGCGTCGCAGAGCATAAACAAGAACAGCGAGAACAGTGCCAGGCTTGTACGTGTTTTGGAGAAAGGCATGCAAAAATAAGCGGTCCTCTGGGAAGGGCTTTGAGCTCCTTCGCAGAGCTCTAAGTAATACACACACAGTTACGGGTCTGTCTTAAACTTTCATTGAAGAGTCGTTGGCCCCTTTAACTGGAGGGCAACGCCTTAAGGCAGAACGCTTCGGCGCTCAAGCCAAATTGTGTGACGCTACAATTCAGGTGCAAGCTGTGTGCTAATTTAACCCAGTCACGTGGATGTGCTGAGGCTCTGTGTGCTGTACAACTTGGTTTAATTAGAGACGCCAACAAACGGCCCCGGAGGAATAAATGAACGTTTTAGTTTGGAGTCAGAATGACTCAATGGAATTGGTTCCCATAGGAAGAAAGTCAACATTTAAAGAAAGAAGCAAAAACCTTGCTGTTGCGAGGTCAGTCCTCAGTTCTGTCCAAGGGGCGGTGCGAGAAAATCTGTCGAGAGCTTGCGAAGAAGGCTGTGCGCAATACGTTTACAGTAAGGAGCAAAGTTCAATATTCGCTGCGCACTTAAACGTGGTATAAACAAACCACCCGTTTAAGAGCTTAAATTGTGTGCATTATTTATAGCAATTACGAAATAAAATATTGCACAACTAGAATTTACTGGCACTGATGCCCACTCTCATGATGGCCCTAGGTGTACACTTACTGGAAGCTATTGGATCACTGCGTGTATGCTGCTCACACCCCCCTTAAAAGCCACAAAAATAGTTTCCACTTAGAAGTTGGTTTAAGTTATCGGGAATTCTGTGGTTCCAGTCAGCCAGACAGAATTTAAACCTGATATACTGTACATTCTTGTAACGGCCACAGTGTATTGAAATCGCGCAGTTACACTGTGAGGAACGTTAAGCCTAGAAGTCAACTACAGACACCTGTGGAAGCATGGAAATAAGGATTTTGTTATAAAATTTAGTAAGTGCAGTATGTAAAGTTGAGGCGATCTATCCTACTGCAAAAAAAGTATCACAGCATGTGTAAGGAGTTGTTTATATCGCGCTGCCAGGAAAGAATGTTTGAACTGACATGCCTTTATAGCGATCAATCAATATTGTTTGTATTAATGAAGAATGTAGTTAATCCTGTTGGGTTTTGTTCAGTTAATTTCATTTAGCTTTTTAATCAGCAGAAATCTTTCTCGGCACTTGTTATGCAGCAGACGGGAAAATAAAATTGGAAGCTTTAAGACTGTAGCAATTACTGTGGAATAAAACTGGGTTATATTAATGAAGCCAGGAAATATCTGACTCACAATGGGATTACAGCAATGCCAAAACAATATGGTTCACTTCTGTATTTAATTCTGTTCATGTCCGTTTTACTATTTATGTACTTTAAGCAGCAACTCAATCAGATGGAATGCACATCTCTTCTTATATTGCATGCTTTCAGATGGATTGCACTAATCTATGTACTTTAATAATTCCTAGAAAGTGTACTACCAACACCCAAGCTGTTCTGTAAATGAACACGTGGGTGAGAGAGTATGTAAGTAGAATAACAAATGAGTGGCTTAAAGTTGCCAACACCAGTGCTCCAATCTTAAGAAACAGCTATAGCAAACAAGAACCAAGTTCCCAAAAAATGAGCTTTTTATGGTGCAATTCTCTATATCTGCACTTTGTCCAGTCTGTAAAATGGTTGATGAGATTCAGTTGTTTCAGTACAACTACATTGAAAGGATGTAGTTCAGTATAAATGTAAAAAAAGTGGAATAATTTCCTACAAGCCTGAACACATAAATGGCTGCAATATTATGACTAATTCAAAGATAGTTAAAATCCAAAAGTTGAGGCTGCAAGGTTTTATAATTACAGTTTAGAGACCCCAGTGACTGCCTGCATAAATAAAAAACTATTCAAATGTCCAATGGTTTTCTCTTTAATCCAGAAGACAGCACATGTAACGCATACAAATCACATTAAGGTGAAATTTTGCAAATAATCCCAATGCATGGTGTTTTGAAAAAAGTGCAAAAAACATTTAAATAAACTTTATTAATTTCACACATTCACATTTACAAAATCAGAAATATCACTATGTGCTTCAGCAATTTTTTTACAAACACAGTACACTCAGATTTGACAAAAGGAGTACAAATGAAATATTTACAGTTTCAGATGAAGCAAAAATAAAGACACGGAAGGCACTAGGACTTTTAGCAATAAATAACAGCAGGCACTTCTTAAACAAAAACCAGAACGCTGACAAAGTCAACTATTTTGGAAAGTGGAAATAGACTTCTAAAAAAATGTAAGGCAGCGCAGTCAAGTGTCTTAAATGGAGAATTACGGTACTATAATCACCACAAAATGTCACCTTTGGTTCACATCTATATACCCGTGTTAGTTTGTGCAATTGGACCCTGCTACGCTCAGCAGGTGACATGGGTTGTAAAGAAATGCACGGAAGCTACTACACACGTAAGGAGTGCAAAGAGAATCAAGTCAAACACATCCACATAGTTCAACAGGGAGACATGGAGAGAACGAAAGACAACTTTTCATTTGATAATTCTTCATCTCCCCCATATAAAGGCACAAAAAGCGAATGGTGAAGGGAAAATAAAATCTAGAACATATTTTCCATTTACACAGAGACAAAAACAGCAGCTGGAAATGCTTAAAGACATTGTCCAAAGTTGTTGCTGTTCTCCTTCAAACTTATGTCAACATTCTTCAAGCTTGTATACTCAAAATATAGTTTAAGTTCCAACTTCATTAATGATATATTTTTTAAAACATAACAGGAAAACTGTTATATAAAAAATACCATTCAAGGCATATTGGTTCCAAATTGAAAGCTTTTTTTAGTTAAAAAGGTGTGTGATGCAGGAAGTGAAACACTGACAATGTCCTGGAATGATATGGGATGCCTATGAAGTTTCAGTGCATCTATGTTAATAAAAATACTGCTAGTTGATAAAATCAAAAACTGATAAAGTTCCGATAAGATAAAGCAAAAAGATCTACCGTCTAATAAGAGGTGTAGAAGTTCTGACAGTTTAAAATATTGCAATCATTTAATGGTGTAATCATAGAATACATTTCTTTTCACTTTTCACAGAAGATTTTTCAGTTTTATTCTGAACAAAAAAGGGTCTTCATGATAAAGAAGTTATCGTACTATTAACAGTTACATAATAGAGTCAAATAATCTGCATTTAACTGTTCTTACAGCACTGAAACCAGTGTAAAATATCTGAATAAATACCAAGAGAGCAGCACACAGGACCACTTTACAAAATAACGAAAATGCTAAAGAAGCTGTCCTGGTCCACTATAATATACAATACTGCAACGGAGGTATGCAGCCACAGATGGACTGTTTTTATTTCATAGCTGAATCCTTGACGGCATAGAATATACTGTGTATTGTGTAGTGTGCTCTGCTTTTCCCTCCAAACATGTCAATGGATCAGAGTGTATCCAGCGATGGAATGGCATTTTAAGCAGCCATCTTCCTTCACTAGGCAGCAGACGGAACATGAACGACTCCACCCTTTTGAAACACAGAGAGAGTTCAATTGCATCTCACCCCTCCTTCACTGTTTTGTAACCTATTAGGATGCTGGATGATTGGAAATCAAACCCAAGGTGCATTTCATTCAGGGTGTCGCTGTAGTCGGTACAGCCTCCCTTCATTTACAATTTAAGAGCATCACACTTATGCAGCTACATAAAAAAAAAAGAGAAAGAGGAGCACCATCTTGTGCAATGAGAAACTAAACCATGGGAGTCACTGACCCCCAGCCCCAGTTTTTCTAAATTTGACCCTCGCTCAAGTGTGTTGCTGGGTCTACCTTCGGAACAAATAATTTGTGGGGAGAAGGGCAATTTCAGTCATAATAATGTAATGTAATGTTTCTTTATTAGCCCTATACAATTTCTTGCATTAGGAATTTGTCTTTTCGCATACCCCAGCTTTTCTCCATGGAGACACAGACAGAGAGAGAAGCTTGGGGTCAGAGCGCAGTGTCTGCCATTGTACGGCGCCCCTGGAGCAGTTAGGGTTAAGGGCCTTGCTCAGGGGCCCAACGGAAAAGTATTCCTCTGCCGGCCGCGGGATTTGAACCGGCAACCTTCCAGTCACAGGCACAGATCCTGAGCCACAGAGCCACCGCTCCGCCCCTAATACCTATTCTATAAAAAGAATAAGTTGGAAAACATTCTGAAAACAGGCATCTCAACTGCACTTTGTTTTAGAAAAGTCATCCATCACTTTGCACTGAATTTGAGCAGGTATAAATGCCAAGATCTCAAATCCTTTCGGTTTTTGGATTCCAATAAGACCCAGGTAATGTTGCACCCTGTAAGATTATGCAACACCTATTTTGATTTCCAGTGCTTTAAGGTTCATGGTTGAGTTCCTAGGAAAATGAGATGGGTGCTGAGAGGAAGAACAGTCTGTAACCGCTTGAATGTGGCAAGTGCACAGTGTTCTAATAGTGTTCACTGGTGTTTATGTGGCTCAAAAAGGCAAAAAACTGTCAATTCCGTTTACAAAAAAACTTAATGACTTGTTCATGAGGGTCTTATACTTTAAAGCTGCAAAAATGATACTTGACAAGTGATGCCACTTTCTTTCCAAACAAATCCAACCCTCTTTCTCATTAGAACTTCAGCACTGAAAAAAACAAAATCCTTTATTAATCAGAGGTGCAGAAGTTTCAAGCACTCAGGGTTACATGACAAATCTGGATTGAATCAATAAAACAGACCACTGGTGATAAATTAGTTACTTAAAAAATGTACAAAACAAAAACTGCTATACAGGTTTAACAAATGACAGAACTGCTTCAGACATTCTTTTAATTATTAAGATTCCTCTGGTTCTACAAAGTAATACAAATGGCATAAATGCTCATTACCTCTACTCTGAGCAGCTCCAGAATGATTTGGTCCTCCAAGTGGTACAAGTGGGAAAACTGACCCATGGGGAATAAAGCCAAAATGCATTCCCAGCAGTTCTCTTGCACAGACGTTAACCCATATACTGCGAGAACCCTAGCCAACAACTACTTCAGTACCCTGTGACAGGGTGATTTTATTTAGATACCCCACTTAAATTCTCTGCTGATACTTCTCCCCACAAGAAAAATCCTTCAACTTTATTAGGAAAAAAATGCATGCATTCTTTTCAACTAGTTCATAAATAGCCCTATGGTTAACCAAATAAGGGAACAAATTAGATTAGCCACAAGAGACTGATTCCTGGCAGAGACTGGTGATTGTGAAGCTATAACCAGATTTCCAAATTTGTACCAAAAGAAAGCATCTTTGTCCTCAATTCCTTCCTGGACATACACACAGTAGTTTGGGGCCACATTTCCTATGCGCCTTTGGATGTCAAGAAGAAAATTAGTTGCAGACTAAACTGCAAAATTCAGCTGCCAACCCTGCCCCCCAACCCAAATACATTACATCTCAGTGACAGTTCAGTTCTGGGTCCTTCAGCCATGTCCAGATTTTGATCATTTCTTGAGGAGTTCTGCTGTGCACGAGCATTAGACTTTTATAAGCACAGGGGTTGTTTCTGTACTTGTCTTCAATATCAAAAGTCTTAAAACCTTTGTGCTTCTCTGGAACAAGGCCAAGCTTCTTAAGGCACATGCCTGTGTAGACATCATCTATGGGATACAGCGATACTTGTTGGGATATATTGTACAGTCTCAACGCCAGGCTCCCAGAGTAGAGAAAGCCACCTCCACCTGCATAAGGAGGGTATGGCCCAACGAACATGCTCTCTGGAATAAAATACTTTAACTTCTTGTCTCGATGAGGCCCGGCATTCATGATGACATCCCCTATAAATAAATCTTTGGCTTTCTGTTCATGCATGTTCTTTAAGTACTCCAGAATGCGATAGGTGTTGACAAAAACATCGTCATCGCCTTTAAACACAAACTTCACCTCAGAGCAGTACTGACTGACCCATTCGAGGAACAGAACCTCCTTAATAGTCAAGTTAAAAAACGAATCCCTGTAATCCCAAATCAGGAGATCTCCATGCATCCTACTCTCATACTGCAGCATTTCAGATAAATCAGGGAAGTGATCCTCCGCGGTAGCATTGCCCAGCAAAAACACAGTGGCCACCGTGAAGTTTTCCAGCTGACCAGTCTTTCCCCAGGACTCTCGGATGGCTTGCCTCCTGTCAAAGTGAGGTGCCAGGGATTTAACAGCTAGCAAAAGGAAAGGCTTGTCTTTGCACTTGTGTGGCTGGTTCACCACCATGGGATAGGTCCTGCACTTCATAAACAGGAGGAAGTCTTTGAAACGCTCCGGCAGAGAGTTGTAATCCTTCACATGGGTCATGACCCCGATGTCCGGGTCACAGGAGTTCAGATGGCTAGAGTTGTCCATACCGTCCTTCAAACTACTGTTGCTGCCATTTAGAACAGCAAGGATGGGGTTGTGTAAAAGGTCCAGTCTCTGCTGCTCCCTGTTCCAATAGGCATCAAGGGCAACTATTTTTTTCCAAAACAATTTATCGGGAATACGAACTCTGTGGTTTAGATCTTTCTCATGGCTTCCACTCCTGGACACTTCCACCACGATGTAAATGAAGAAATTCACCGTCATCATAATCCCCAGCACTTTCACCTTCCTCCAAGAACCGGTCATTTCTGTTACCTGAGGAAGAGCAACAGCAAGAGCAGTTAGCTTTGACACATTTTAACAAAAGGAATGAGACCAGATGAGCTCCAGCTCTGCATGCTTCTCTTAAGGATGAACCTGTGGTGTAACTGGCTGCTTTCAGCCTACAGTTTGGGGTCTTTGGAATGAGCATGCACTTTTTCTGTCAGACATTGTCAGAGCTTTAATAGACATCATGTGCTGTCTGTTCCAGACACTCATGACACCAATTACGGGGCGCAATATGAAGCTGTTTACTGGGCTGCCAACAGAAAGCAAGTTGCTGGGATGCACTAAAGCCAACAAATGGAAAGCTGGGAAGGGATTCTGTGTTGATAAAATCCCCTGTGCGAGTTGTAAAGAAGCAGGGAGTGTCCAAGTTGTCAAATTGGGAAATATTACTTTCCTACACCTGTGCAAAGCCTCTTCATGCCCAACACACACTACAATATTACAAAGCAGTACTTGTCCTAATGTGATCAACTATCTTTATAAAAACACTGAGGCAGTGCACTTATATTTCACTCTAGTATGTAGATTAAGAAGGCTTACTTGACTTTTGTTTTATCAGTCTTTAAAACTAAACTGTGAATGAAACAAACATCATCCATCAGGCACTGCATAGAAAATACCAACAAATATATTAAAGACTACAGGATGGGCACCATAAAGTCATCTGAACAAGATAACCACTGACCAGCAACTCTGCTGTGAGTAAGTTCACTACAAAAAAAGTAAGCTACAAATGTTGAATTACAAGAGCTAGTTTAAAGAGCAGAGCTGTTTCCATATTAAAAAGAAGCCTATTTAGTTTTTATTTTTCTAGAGATTTAATAAAAAGCAAAGCCAGGAATTGTGCAACATACGCAAGCATAATGAGGACAAAGGTCTTATTCAGGTAAGATTTCTCTTAGATGAGTTCAGTGCCCCTGACCCCTAATCTCTTACCTATGCCATGCCTAAAAGCCTGGGTGACTCAGTGATTGTCTGGACTTAACCCTGACTTGCAGACAACTTACATGCATCAATAACACTGACTAATTCCAAATTCCCATTGCCTCTGCCAGTATTCTAAGGTTTTTCAGATTTGTTATTGGATGAGAAACAACCACAAAGTACAGTACATGATGCAGTAAACAGATAAGACAAGTGAAATCTTGTCATAAAAAATGAAACTACAAAATGATTCTCTTTATTTACTTGGCACAGAACAGTAGGAACACGACCTTTATCATGTTACAGAGAAACTTTTTGTTAGTTGAATGGGTTATAGATGCAAAATTAAAGCACAGACTGGCAAAACGTTTTTTTTTTTATCTGGAAAAAAAAAATACCTTTACCTTTGTAGAACCTGGTCACAAAACGGATGGGTTTCTGAAGTGTGTCATTCCCGTCCCAAAGTCTGCCTGTGGCTCTGACTGGATTGGCTTTACATTAACCCATTCTGTGGGGCCACACTGGTGAAATGCGAGAACATTCAGGTCCTTACAACCTGGAAAGAGATACGCAAAAGGAATTCAGGTCAGTAACATGGGAAAAAAAAGGTTGGCTTGTGTTAAACAGTGCTTATTAAAAAAAAAAAAAAGACTTGTTAAAGTCTCAGTTTAACAGCCAGAAGAGAAAGGTCTTGAGAAACTGGACTACAGAATGCAATCTCTAGATCACCTACTGTTCTAAACCTAACATTTAAGAGAAAGTGTGGATGTAACTCTCAAGGCCTGTCTGTGTCCTTTTTACGCTTCTACTAACCTCTTAAGCACACACAGAACAACCTTTGTTCAGAATGGCTTGGCAGCTTTATCATTAATTCAGTAGACCATTTTTTCCACCCCGACCTTTTGCTACAAAACATTAAACCTTTTTGACTCCGGTACCAAATACTTCCACCCCTGGGTTTATTCCCACTCCTGATGAACATTTAACAAAATCCCTTGCTTATAATCACTAGAACGCGGTTCTAGTTTCTCACTTTTGCAAACAGCTCTGGTGTCCTCTGCATGATTCATGATGGGTTAATTAAAAGTTCACATAATGTCATGAACACTGATAAAGGTTAGAAAATAACTATTCATTTCAGTTCTGCCAGTTTTAACAGAAATTCAGAGACACCATCAACGAGTTAATTCTGTAATCAGAAAAAACAAGAGACTCCATAGTAACATTCTTCAAAGTTAATGATTAACACTACATTCATAACTGGTGCCAACAGCACAGAAGCTAAAACATTTTCCTTTTAAGCATTTTAAATGCTTTAGACCTCACAACAGACAACAGTCTAAACATAACATTAAGGCTTTTAAATCAAAGTATGGCTTCTTCACATAAACATAAGAGACTGTAAATACGCATAAATCTAGGGAGTAAGAAATGTAGACGGCAAGACAGTCACACATTTTCAACCCTGTATTTGAAATAAACAACACTGGCAAAAAAAGACCATTTTCAGGAGCTCCTAAGAGAAACTGAGGTGGTCTGACCAGAAAAAGAGTGAAACACTTCCAGAAGATCACAACCTTTCAATTTAAGTTTAGGCCTTACTGGTGCAGTGCCTTTGGTTTGTCAGATCTGAATGTAAACCGAGTTCAGATCTTCCCTTCCTACAAAACTAGGAGTCTTGAGAATGTTACTTATATCGCCTTTCATATGGTACAATCTCACTTGTTGCCAATGTGCTGCCTCTGCTTATACCTGCATAATGTCTAGTAAGGCAACATGAAATGCTTAACAAAACGCCGAGGAACAGCTGGATAGTTGATCCCTTTGAAAAATGTAATCCACAAGACATGTCCTTAAAAGAAAAAAAAAAACGGGCCACTCAGCCTGATTTTTACATAAAGAGCAGAGCTAGCAATGACAGCCTTCCTGCAGTAAATGAACAGCAGTCAGGACTTGTCCTTGGTTAAGCGAGTCAAGGAGATCGTGCTCCAGCTCTGTGTGCTGCATTAACCTAACTGTACCTCTCTGAATGCCACATTGATTTCAAATCATTCTTTCCTCTGCAGTATTCAGACATTTACAGTTGTTTTAAAGTATAAAATCTGAGTTGTAACAATTATTGACATTACAAAGACTATATATATACAAATATCCTGCAGGTCTGCATGTAAAATAGTAGCTTGACAATCAGTTCTTCTTTTCAACTTTGTAGAAACCAGGTTATATTTTTCTTTGATACTGTAGCTCAGCCAGAAAGTCTGGCATCCACACAGAGCCCCCCATACACACCCTTCACTGCTGATAATGGGTGAGGCTGCATCCCACTGTGTCACTATCAAATTATGGACTATTACTAAAACAGGCTCTGGAACTGACAAAAAATTTGTCGAGAAGCTGCCACCCTGAAAATGTGTTAGAATGATTAGAGTATCTGCCTTTAGTCACAAACTAAAAGGCAGGAACAGGACATAAAAAATGAACTTATTAAATAAAATAATGCAAGTAAAGGTCGTCAAACCTACAGTGCTACAGCACGGCTGCCAAGTTGTTGTTTTTTTTTCCCCAGCAACGTTTATGAAGAAGACTGCTGACAAGACAAGCTTAAGCACTGTTTAAGGACAAACAGGCTCTTTGCCCTTTAATGATGGATTCAGTTTCATGGATGATGTCTGCTTTAAACACAGACCACCTAGGCAGGGATGCCATGATATGCTGATGTGTTTGTACCTGTAATGAGAATCACAGGGTTAAAAACATCAATTTAACAAATGAGAGAAGCCAATTTGGTAGGTAGTAGTTAAGTGAGGGTTTCATGGCTGGGTATCCGTACTCCATACTGGGTATTCTGCACTGCCATGACCCTTTGTAAAGAAGTGAGCCCTGATTTAATATTTAAATGCACTTCCGTGTAGCTTCCATATACAATCTCTCATTCACATATCACCAGGTACTAAATGTCCACAGGGACGACTCTGAAGACAAGGTGCCCTTGTAGTTTTCTCTGTATGAGGCTAAAAAAAGTTTAGTTTTAGCTGGTAAATACATGACATTTTTTCCAAGACCCAGAATATATCTGGTTGCTCTTCTCTGGACTGATTCTAGAACTGCAACAGAGTTTCGTAAAGTGACAGAAATGTACATGGTATTTAAATAAGGGCTTACTAATGTACAATTGCACAATTTTAATATAAACATCCCTTGATTTGGGGGTTAGGGTCTTCTATACCATCTTAAACTACACCTACTAAATGCACTTGCAGGTTTTACTTGATAAGTTGTTGCAATGCGCTTTCCTCAAATGATATTAAACGGGACTTGCAGGCAGGGTTCTTTAAAAACGTTTTGCAATGCCTCAGTAATGAAAACAACTTTCCTTTGGGGCCTATTAAAATGCAAAAGAAGATGCTTTCCTCTAAATTATGCTGTCATGCATTGCACAGCTGCTAATGATCCTGTCTTTAAAATATTGCATGAGCACTACCACAACACAAAACATACAACACATTTTAGGCCTGCATGAAAATTAGTCATGTTTATTTGATAAATAAATAATAAGAGAAAATAGTTGACCTCAAATGATCACAAAATTAAATTTTAATCATATGAGCTTAAAATGCTGATTATAATAAAGTTTTTAAACAAATCTGAATTTCTTTTGAACTTTCAAAAACATTCTTGAACAATTTGGATAGTAAGATTTTACTCAGAACATGAAACTGCAAGCTAAGATTCTGAAAGGTAGGAAGGATGCCTCATACTTATTTTTGGAAAAAACAGGCGTTGCAAATTGGAAACTGTGAAGTTATCAGATCATGTTAATGCTTCACGTTCAACTGTAAGCTAACAAGTAGCTTCATGCCCAAACCAAAGGGGGACTTCCATTTCGTGCCATAACGTTCCGCAAGCGTCTCAGGAAGCATTTATAGTCTACTGGAGAATGTTCTCAGAAGCCCCTTTCAGTATTAATTTAATTTTGTCCCAGTGAAGTACTGCTCCTGTCTGGTATGGAACTTTGAGCTTTTCACAAATAGATCAACAGTACCGAAGCATCCAAGACTATATTAATTTTAAAGGCCTTTCAATTAAAATGCACTAGATGGTTAAGAGGTCTTCTAAAAGTTGTTTAAATTTATGGTAACTACAACAGTAGATTACATAAATTCTAAAGTTTTGTCTCTCAGTCAACAGAACCAAGGTTATTAGGGGTCACTTTCCACAGGGTTTTGGAAAAAGTTACTGGTTACATTACAGGCATTAGGTTCTGGCATCACATCAAGCACTGCTCTACTTTACAACCTTAAGTGTTAAGTGTTGAGTGTTTGAAAAATCACAGTACACAGTTTTCATAACTAATAAACCATATAAAGAAGTCTTACAAAATCTTTAAAATGAACTTTGAGTTCTTTTCACAAACGTGAATAAGAAGTCCGATACCACCTTGCAAAGACATTTTTATTAATCCATCAATTATGATTTCAGATTTTTCAGGATAGCACTACGTAGGTCAGATCAGACAACTGCCAGCAACTAACAATACCAATAATGACCTGCAATGACCAGAAAAAGAGTAGGCATGTTAAACAAGCACAATAGGTCAAGTTGCCTCCTCTCATATGCAGCCCCACTTCTGTGTACTGTATATGTTCAAGTCCAGGTTGCAAATAAAAATATCTTCAAAAGAGCCTTGTTGGGGCCAATCCTAAAACAAATGGCAGGCCAAACTTTGATTCTAACGACCTGAATGCTATACCATGTTATATCGGAGACATTTGAATCTGCTGACTTCATGCAGCATTTATTTTGTACACTGATGCAAGTTGGAAGTAAATTAGTAACAAAGGCTTGGTGAGTGAATGTAGAAGTTGTGGTTCCTGTGACCTATATCCGATAGTACAGATGCAGAGGAGGATCTATATTAAAGAGACCTAATCCTGGAACCCACAATCCAGAATAGTCTAAAAAAAAAAAACTGTCTGGCACACAATAAAATGCACAGTGTCAAAAAGCAATAAAGTCATGACTCTCTGCAAGCAGGAGTCACAACAAATCACTAATCAAACAAAATGGATATAACTTGCAATTTGAGCTATCTACAACCGAAACTGAGTAACCATGGATCAGCATTCTTACAAAAATAAAATATCTAGTTGTCACCATTGTTTTTTTTTTTTACTTAGCTGAACAACTGAATAACTAGGCCTCTAAACAAAACCTCTAAAGTTTTTCTAAACACAACTTGCTATTTGTAACCTAGGATATGAAAGCTTGTACCACACAACTCACCTAAACAAAAAAAAAACAACAGTATTTACACATTACTTTTCTAAACAATTTGCTGAAAATAAGGATTGCACAAAATTGGACATTAATTCTCTCCAGCAAAAAAAATAAAAAACAGCTACTTGTTTTTTTTTTTTGGAAGACTGAAGTTTACTTGAAGAGACTTTAATGACTGTTCCTGACAACAATCTCTTTTCTAAACAGAAACTATCACAACAACCATTTCAGATCTCTCAAGTCACTGGACAAAGGACAAAGAGTCACCATAAAGGAACTGTAATTATAAAGAGGAACTACTCTACTAAAGAGTTCTCTTCAAGATGGACCTAAAGCCCAAGAAGGGACAATGTATGGAACACTACACAGCAACAACAGCGCACAGGAAATCATGCACGGGCCTTGCAAGAAATTCTATAGCATGGTTCATTCTAAACATGTTACTGCAAAAAAAAAGATGCGTTTACTAGTGTATATAAAAGAACCTATAATTTTTGCTGCACTTCTAGCATATTGTTTTAAGACTGAAAACGAAACCTGTCTCAGCAGCAGAAGCTAAATATTGTCACTTGCCCTTCTAAATCGTGCCTTTATCAAGATATCCAGCAAAAGCTACAGTATAATGTAACCAACCACCATGCTCCAGCAGGTCTAAATGCAATTGTTACTGCTTAACAGACAACGGTAACCAAGTTTAACATTGTACAATTTGCTAATTTACTTTAGATTTGAGTGCATATTTAAAGCAAACATCTCCCAGTAAAGCACCAATTTAAAAAAGAAAACGTAATAAATAAAATCTGTGTGGGCAACCCATTTCCCCTCATACCTTCTGTGGTATAAAATAAGACTCCCAAAGGCACAGCCCCACACAAGGATCGAGAATGAAGGCGTGTTCTAGGTTCTAGGAAAAGGCCACTAGTTTGTTTCTGAAGGAATGATCTTTTAATAGTCTAAGCAGGAATTCAGCTTAATTTTCCACAATAAAATGTCACTGTGAATAAACCCAAATTGATACTGCATGGGGGAAAAAAGCATTATGGCCTAATGCTATCTTTTCAGACTGGTGCATGAATCAGAATGCAACTGGTATTGCCAAAAAATTGTTGCAGATCAATTTAGACTCTTTTCAGCTAGGTGAGGTAACATTTCATTTATAATTTGACAATAATGAACCAATTTAAACTACAAACATGCCCCATTGCTGAAGACATTGAAAAAGCATCTGTTGCTAGAATCTGCACATTTAGGATAAACAGCATCTACACTGTGAAGTAGTGACATTTAAGTTACGATTATATTTCAAGAACTGGAGGAAAAAAAAATGAACTGGCTGTTTCCTTGAACTTTGTGCCACATCTGAAGTCCTTCCATGATAAAGCACTGACCAGTACAACTTCGAAAACCTACAGCCACAGTCCATATTCTCCTCGTGATACTTAAGGAAAAGAGGAAAATGTATTAACCACAGAGGAAGCTAAGCTGTTCTTATTTTCGTTCAAGTGACTTCACTTGCATATGACAAACATTAAAACACAGAGGTCTTGTGCCAAAAACAACAATGCAATCTTTTCAAAAGTCGACCTTTTTCAAAATACCAAGCTAAAATTAGAAAAATAATGATTAAAGATCTATAAACACCTGTGGGATAGCAGCTGCAATTTCATTTTAGGTAGCACGTGGGAAAAATGCTCCACCAACAAAAGAAAATGTGGAAAAACTATCAAGGATAATCCCAAAACCTTTATTTTGGAAACATTTAACTGTCACTTTTAAACGCAGCTTGAAGTAAAAAAATATTTTATATGTTCCCTGTCGTTTGCTTTATTTAGTCATGTAAGCAGGAATTACCGTACTGATGTGTGAAAGCCCAAGGCCTAAAAAGCCTAATTTATCTCACTAAATTAAACACGTTCCACAGCGCCGGTGTTTCATCCTTTAAAGAAAACGCTGAACAAAGCGGCATACAAGACAACTCAAGAGCAGCACATACAGTAGGAAACACGTCGCTTAGTGGTGGTCTCAGACTAAGATCTAAGACATTCACGAGTGCATTTTTGCGTATCAGAGTAGAAACTTAACTGAATGACTAACACCCATCTGTAATATTTAAATTGTTAACCTGCGGCTGTCCACGACTTGTGCAAAACTGTCTTATAATAAACCTGTCATCTATATCATATGCATATCCATGCACCTTATAAGGAACACCATTCAGAGTAATGGGTTCTCAGCACGCAGCGGTAATTATGGGGATGTGAATATTAATACTGTAATAAGTTAAAATGTATTTGTGAACTGGAATTAGAAGAACACTAAGTTGTTGTTGTTGTTGTTGTTGTTGTTTTTCATTCTAGCGTTGTAAAGAATCCAAAGCCAATATTGATTTACCCTTTCTTCAAAAATGTTTACATCTGTATAGAAAGTACAGCTGTTCTTACCGGAAAACTACTGATAACATGGATTTTAGTTGAGCTCCTGACAAGTGTCTTAAGTTATTTGATACATGTATATGATTCGCAGTAGTTACTTAATCAAAAGGCTGATAGTTATATGTACATAATACAATTATTCGGCTAGACGGAAAAAAAGTATTTTCCATTTTTTTTCCCGCAGAAAACTTCTAATCTACTGAAACGAGGAGTTACAGATCGTGTTTGTCAATTTATTTTAAAAAGCCTTCTACCCGCCTGTCGAATTATATCTTTGAGAAATCATCCTTGAATTATCTTGATTTCGATATATATTGATTTCTATATGAGACTACGCCTAAATAACTCATCTTGATGGTGCCCAAGCAAGAAAATAAAGCACCGATAATTACAGTGTCAGTTCAGATTAGCTGCCGTACAAACGAGAACATTCACAGCTACGTGTTAGCGGTGTGTGTGTGCTTAAACCGCTATTTCCGAGGTCACGGAAAGAAGAACGCAAATGAAAAATAATTAAAAACCACAGTGCAGCGCTCACTGAACCTACAGTTAGAGAAAGGGTAACATGTAAAACGTCTTCGAAACGTGTTTCTCGAGACACTTTTACGCCGTGGAAAAAAAAAGTATTCACTCATTACATCTGCTTAAAAAAAAAGAAAACGCGTTTCTTTAAAAAAAACATTGCTGCCCAAGACTTCACATTACATACGATCTTTCGTACTCATCCGACGCCCATTCCAAAACACAAAACGTCCTCTGCCGCAAGGAACCCCGAAATTCTGGCTGATCTGTGCAAGTCTGCACCCCGCAGGTG